CATAATTTGTGACAGACCTGTACATTTTATAGATAATGATGATTACTGTCCGGACGAATCGATCGATCGCTATTTTCTATGGACAATGTACATAATAGCTTTGGTATCAAGCTGATAGATTTGTGTAAATCTACCTCTTTAAGAATTGCTTACGGTAGACTTGGTAATGATTTTAATAAGGGTAGTTTTACATATGCTTGTACAACTGGTTCGAGCGTTATTGACTATTTACTGCTTCATGAGCAAAACTTTAACACGATTAAATATTTTTCTATTGAAGAATTTAACGAGTGGTAAGATCACGCTCCAATTAGTTTTAATTTAGCATGTAATTTTGTTTGTGATGAAAATGATAGTCAATACGAGCGAATCAGTATTAAATGAATCAGTGACCTCCGTGATGATTTTAGGCGTAGTCTTATTTCTATGTTACCGAAAATGAATAGCATTTACTGATAATACTGACTTCAGAAATAAATCAGAAATGAACAATTGTATTGAACAATTTACGAATATTATAAATGATGTTGCAGAACCACTGTTTCACAAACATTATGTTGTATATGATACGCCTCGCTTTAAAAATGCAAGTTGTAAAAAAGCGAAATGGTTCGATAATGAATGCTCTATTGCAAAGAATGAATATGTTAAGCTGTAAATGTATACAATTTGTGTAAAAATGATGAGAAAATAGAGTATTGATGTGTAGTCATAAATCTGTTTATAAAAATATTGTTAAAGTTAAGAAACGAGATATAAAATAGGTAAAATGAAAGAAATAGAGCGCCTGCGCCATTGTAAACCCGGAGATTTCTGGAAATTTTTTTCTAAGAAACAGAATTCACATGAAAATAGCGGAATTAGTACTCAGGAATTTTATGAATACTTTTCTAAATTGAGTGATGATTTGCCTGATGTTTACAATGATAATGTTGAACAATTCTGTAGCAGTCACAATTTTGTAAATGAGAAATGTATTTTTGAAGAACTAGATTCTCCAATAACGGCTATAGAAATTGAATACGTTATACGTCATTTGAAGAAATGTAAATCCTTTGCGGGTGATCAGCTTTTATATGAATATTTTATTGAATCTTCAGATATACTGATGTCACATTTAGTAGAAATTTTTAACGGTATATTGGATTAACGGTGTATTTCCAGATCAGTGGATGAATGGTATTATCGTTCCTTTATTTAAGAAAAAATGACCCATGTGACGTAAAAAATTATAGAGGTATTACTTTAGTGAGTTGTTTTTCAAAGATATTTACAGGGGTTTTAAATAAAAGGATTTCTGATTGGGTTGAAAATAATAATGTTGTTAGTGATGCCCAGTTCGGTTTTCGTAAGAATCGTTCAACTATTGATGCAATATTTGTATTAAATGCTATTGTTAGTAAAATTTTAAATGAAAATGAAAGACTGCCATGTGCTTTTATCGATTTTAAAAAAAGCATTCGATAGTGTATATCGTAATGGTCTGTGGTTTAAGCTTTATAATGTTGGACTCAGAGGCAAAACGTTAAATATTTTACGAAGTATGTACTCAAAGGTTAAAGTTCATGTCAGAGGTTGTAAAACATATTCAGATTATTTCGAATGTTCAATAGGATTAAAACAAGGGGAGGTAATGTCCCCTTTACTTTTTTCATTATTTTTAGAAGATTTAGAGTTATTTCTCCAAGATGATGTAAACTCTGGTATTTGTTTTGATGAAGTTGCTTTTATACTTATGTTATTTGCAGATGATATAGTCATCTTTGGGAAAAATACTTATGACTTACAAAAGAATCTTTGATTTATTATTCACGTATTGCAGTACTTGGGGATTAGAGGTTAATCCGGATAAAAGTAAAATTGTTGTTTTTAGAAAACGTGGGCCTTTAAAGCATGATGAAAAATGGACTTATAACAATATGCATATAGAAGTGGTTTTCTAACTTTAATTACCTTGGCACAGTTTTTAATTATACCGGAAATTTTAACCTAAATCAGGAAAACATTGACTGGTAAAGGCTTAAAGGCATTAAATATGCTGCTTGCTAATACCAAAGGCATGTCATTAAAGCCAAGCACCCTTTGTCAACTATTTGATGCATTTGTTGGCTCCGTGTTAAATTATGCGAGCGAGATATGGGGTTTTTAGCAAAAGCAAAGACATTGAGAGAATTCATTTAAAATTCTGTAAGTCAATACTCTATGTTAAACAAAGTACTTGCACTATGGCTATTTATGGAGAGCTATGCAGATACCCGCTGTTCATTAACAGATATGTCAGGATTGTAAAATACTGGCTAAAAATTGTAAACAGTGAAAATATTATAGTTAAAAAGATGTATGAAATAATGTTAAATGATTGTCAAAGAGGCAAGGTAAATTGGGTATCTAAAGTAAAATCTTTGTTAGAAAATAATGGATTTTTATATGTATGGAACAATCCTGATATTATCAATATTAAAACGTTTCCTTTGTTATTCAAACAAAGACTAACGGACCAATTTGTTCAGGCATGGACTGCCACATTGTCTGTTAGTTCGAGTTTATGTACTTATAAATTATTTAAAAACTCTTTTAAATTTGAATATTATTTAGATAACATTCCGCTTAAACTTCGTATTCCATTGACTAAGTTAAGGCTATCTTCTCACCAACTACGAATCGAAACAGGTCGCTATGGTAATAATAGAACTGAACGTAACCAAAGACATTGTATGATTTGTAACAGTGGTGACCTAGAAGATGAATATCATTTTATTTGTATCTCTGTTCAGCATACAATCAGATTCGAAAACGTTACATTAACAAATTTTATTTTTACAGACCAAGTGTTGTTAAATTTATAGAACTTATGCAATCTGTAAACTATTCTGTAGTAATTAAACTATGTAAATTTATACGAGAAGCATTTATAATAAGACAAAACATTGTAAACAACTATACTTAGAAGTAATTAAGGCTACTTCCTGTAATCACTTACATGTGCATTAATTTAATACAATAATTTCTACGTTATTTGGTATTGTACAATAATTATCTGATACTGTGGTGTAAATGTATTGTAAAAAGTTTTGTGTTAAATAATTTTTTCATATTTTTCATTTTCGCTTTACATTTTTGTTTTAATTTACATAGTTCATCCTCTTGATATGGGTCATTAGCTTAAACCCGTTTTCAGTGAGTTTAATCACATTTCCCTTTTTTTGTTTTTGTCATGGTTTAAAATGTATATATGTTAATTGTATCATGTAACAAGAAACATAACTTGTTTACGTTACTTAATAAAGAATCTTGAATCTTGAATCTTAACAAAGACACTTAAAAAAGAATTTAACAAAAAAAAAAGTTTCCTCGATTGGGATGTGAACCCGAGACCTCTCACTCACTAAGCGAGCGCGTTACCACTGTACCACGGAGACGTTATATACACACAGTCTGAATAACATCAAGTCATTGTAAATTAAGAACTTCCATTGCATTTCGGGTTTGTAATCCTTATTAATTTCGAGGTATTTTGTTCAGGATAAACCTGTTGTTTAAAATTGAAGTCAATAATTTAGCGAAAATCCTCTCGCCCAAACAGTCCGACATGTAGAATCTATATATTCCACTACTCGGTAGGTTGTGTAGTATTCGGTAATCGACATCGCTAAAAAATAGCATTTTCATTGATATCAATGAAAATCAAATTCATCCGCGTAATTTGTGATTGTGCATTTATTGACAATTCTATAAGACAAACACTACTTTTAAACTTTGAATGCGTTGTAATTTGTTGGATACTTGTAACAAAATAAAAATATTTCTTTCTTTTAAATCGCTAGTTTTTAAGCTGTTTTGGGAACTACTTGTTGTTAGGTTTGTCGGGAAATTCTGTGTCAGAGATTGAATGTCAGCTATGTATTTACTGACCTTCGGTCAGAAAATACAAAAAGGATTGGAGCACCACACTAAATACCGTATTCCGGTATATACCGGACAAGACGCTTGAATCATAAAATGCTAAAATCTTGCCTTTTTACCTAACGGAATGAACTTTAATAGGTCTAATTTTTCATGGCTTTTTTTTACCAAAAAACCTTTTTTTGTATGAAATTTAATGAAAAATGTAAAAATTTGGGGGGAAAAAAAAAGATATTTGTTTTATTTTGTGACCCTGATTTCCTTGAAGGGGTCTAGAAGGGACTTTCTCCATCCTTATTGAGCTAAACCCCCCTTTAATCCCCCTGCCCCTTTAAAAAAACGTCCAAAAGAAAAATCACATGACGTAACGTCGAAAATCAAATGTAAATATCGACCGTTACAAAGAAAATCTAACGTTATTTTTCTCTTTCTGTTTTATTTTGAACTTTTGGTGCCTGTGTTCGAAATAGTTTATCAAAAATTATCGAAAGTATACAAAATAACGAAAAATAAATTCAAAAGCTAAAAAAATATAAAATATCAAAATATCGTCTCGATAGAAAATAATCTCTTAATTTTTAAAATTATTTGTAAATATTCATATTATTTATTTATTTATTCATAAACATTGTTAAATAAATGAGAGAAAACTTATCTGATAGATAAAAGCAGTAGATAAAACAATTTTTGAAAAAATATAGTATATCAGAAATTCTGATATATCCGGACCTTGGTGGCAGAGATCTACGCCGAAGAATTAAGGGGAGATCACTGTGTGGAGATTGATGTGACGTAACCACTTAAAGAATCCGACGCGCTTAAAATAAGTACGAAAACAAATCAGGCGCAATTTTGCTTAATATCAGGTACGGCAGCATTTATTTGTTGATGTCGTGTTAGAATCGAAATAAAATATCCAAATCGGTGATTTTATCGCTTGAAAACATCACTGTTTGTCGTTCGGATGCGCATCATTATATCACTCGGGCTACGCCCTCGTGATATAATTCCTCGCATCCGGTCACCAAACAGTGATATTATTGAGCGATAAAATCACTGTTTGGAATATATTATTTCTTAAACAATTTTAAAATGAAAATGGTCATTATAGAAATATGAAGTATCCTAAAAGTAGTTTATTCTTCTTAGTAGTTTTTTTTTTGCAATCCAGTCTCAATGATTAAACAATTTCAAGTATAAGATTGGTTTTGTTTTGCATCATTTTATTACTATTAAATGTTAAATCACATGCAATGTCCATTCTGTTCACACTTCTCTTTCCCATCCAACGCAGCAGCAAAAGTTAGGACCACAGGAAGCTCTTTTGCACGTGTTGTATCTGTACGTGCGTAACCCTACTTTACCCGTCTCTTCTCTCTCAAGATTTTTACTGTCATACACATGTATGGATTCGAAGCATTTCTTCCTATAAAAAATAATTTCACTATTGATTAAATACTGCCGTTGTTGTTGACCAATATCTTTAATGACCATCGTGTTGAAATCAAATAGTTTACACAGTAATTTTCTCTAAAACTTTCGAGTTTAGCACTTCTATTAAAGTATGAAATAAAGTATTTTACTTGACGGAGAAACGGTACATGTCCTGACAAACAGTGTGTTAAACTGTTGTACTTGTTTTTTTATTTACAATAACATCCTTTCAAGCACAGGTTATCGGTGTGGAACCAAACCCTACCCACAGGGCCTCACCCCACCCCGATACAGATAGTAACAGTTCTTACTGTTTGTTGGAATTGCTTCTTTTGTATTTAGAGATTAATACACGGCAGAGTAGGGCCGGAAGGTCATAATCGGAAGAGGACCATGATGGCACTGAGGTCGCTCACCTGTATATAGCCCCCCCCCCCCCACACACACACCAATAAGAAGATGTTTCATGCTAAACATCTTAGCTCTAGCTCATTGGGCTTTTTAGTCCCCTACCGGTTTACCGGAGGGGACTTTAGGTTTACCCTCCGTCCGTCTGTCCGTCTGTCTGTCCGTCCGTCTGTCTGTCAGTCCGTCCGTCCACAAAACTGGATCCCGCGATAACTTGAAAAGTACTGAAAATATTTTTATGAAACTTGGTATATGGATAGATGGCAGTATGGAGATTATGCACGTCTTTTTCTTTTCTTCCTATGTTGAAAATTCTGGTTTCTATGGCAACAAATAGGCTGAAAATATGGCAAATTTTACACATAAACTTGATCCAGTGATAACGCAAAAAGTACTGGAAATATTTTTATGAAACTTGACATATGGGTAGATGGCAGTCTTGGGATTATGCACGTCTTTTTCTTTTCTTCCTATGTTGAAAATTCTGGTTGTTATGGCAACAAATAGGCTGAAAATATGGCAAATTTTACACATAAACTGGATCCAGTGATAAAGCAAAAAGTACTGGAAATATTTTTATGAAACTTGACATATGGGTAGATAGCAGTCTTGAGATTATGCATGTCTTATCTGTTCTTCCTATTTTGAAAAAATATCTGTTGCCTTGGCAACAAATAGGCTTAAAACATGGCAAATATAACAATATTTGTGATTAGTCTTTAATTCAAGAGTTATCTCCTCTTTAAGAATTTTGCTTTTAAAATGTTATATTTTGGTAACAGGGATGTTTCAAATATTAACTTTAGAGTGTCCTTCAGTCCGTCTGTCTGTCTGTTCATAAAAACTGTTTCCTGTGATCATTTTTAAAGAACTTTTCCAACAAGTTTACTTAAAATAGAGAAAATTGAAACATTAGTGAATGGCCAATGGCCCTTCAGAATGTTGATGGGGTTCTAACCGGTAGGGGACTTATGGATTGCTTGCAATACTATGATAATTGCTTGTTAAAAGAAGATTTTTTAAATTTTTTTACTATACACATATAGTTAAAAACAATGACACCCCTGGGGCGGGGCCAGTTTTGACCCCAGGGCTTTTATTTGAACAAACTTTGTAGACACTTACTAGAAGATGTTTCATGCTTAATATCTAAACTCTAGCTTTTTGTTTTTTTCAAAGAAGATTTTAAGTTTTTGCTATACACATATATAATGAAAATCAATGACCCCCGGGGCGGGGCCAATTTTGATTCCAGGGCTTTTATTTGAACAACCTTGGCAGACACCTATTAGAACATGCTTGATGCTAAATATCTTAGCTCTAGCCATTTGAGTTCTTTAAAAGAAGATTTTTTAAGTTTTTACTCTATGCATAAAGGGAAAATAAATGACCCCCTTGGGCGGGGTCAATTTTAACCCCAGGGCTTTTACTTGAACAAACTTGGTAGGCACTCATTAGAACATGTTTCATGCTGAATATCTTAGCTCTAGCTCTTTGGGTTCTTTAAAAGAAGATTTTTCAAGTTTTTACTATATGCATATAGGGAAAATCAATGACCCCCTGGGACGGGGCCAATTTTGACCCCAGGGCTTTTATTTGAACAAACTTGGTAGACACTCACTAGAGGATGTTTCGTGCTAAATATCTAAGCTCTAGCTATTTGGGTTTTTTCAAAGACGATTTTAAGTTTTTGCTATACACATATATTATGAAAATCAATGACCCCCTGGGGCGGGGCCAATTTTGACCCCAGGGCTTTTATTTGAAGAAACTTGGTAGACACTCACTAGAGGATGTTTCATGCTAAATATCTAAGCTCTAGCTCTTAGGGGTTTTTAAAAGAAGATATTTAAGGTTTTTTCTTTCGGTTGCCATGACAAACAGAGTTCTGCATGGAATTAAATTCTTTGTACAATATTTAAAAGGTGACCACAAAAGGAACATTCTTGTGAAGTTTGGATGGAATTGGCCAAGTGGTTTATGAGGAGATGTCATTTAAAGTAAAAGTTTACTGACGACGGACGACGGACGGACGCCGGACGAAAAGCGATCACAAAAGCTCACCCTGTCACTTTGTGACAGGTGAGCTAATAATGACCCCGAGGGTTTCAGCCCGAGGGCATTATTCATTTCAGGGCCGATAATCACCTTCCGGTCCTACTCTTACGTGTATTAATGTCTTTAATACACGTATAGATCTAAAAGCTGCATTAAAAAAACAAATAGATCTACTGTGAAGTTCTTTCGTTGAAATTCTCCTCTACACTTCTACTGTTCTGTCAGAGATGTTTACTGATTGTGTGTTCAAAGCAGTAGAATCTGAAAGCAAGTTTTATTTTCATTTTTCGCCCATTCTCAATAAAATCAAGCATTTGAGGTTGAAAAATAATAATAATTTGATGTTGTCATTGTGTCATTTTATATCGCTGAAGTATTAGGGTATTTTGCAAGTTTGCTAGAAATATTTTCAAAAAGAAACTATAATATAACAGGATGGTATTTATTTCGGAAATGACACTGTATTTCTTCGGTAACGTTGATTTCAGATCCAATAATGTAACATATTGGCTGCATATAAATAACAAATGTCTGTAAAATATATCAAAATCTGTAAATTCTCTATCTAGAGGGACTTTCTAATCCAGGAAAATTCAAAGAAAGTGGGTACCTTGCTAATATTCAGTAAATTTCGTCAAAGTTAAAATATTTGTAGAAAGCAAAAACAGTCAATTTTGGAAATGATTATTTTATGTCTTCATTCAAAGGATATATATCATATATGATATATGGGAGGTCGAATGCATACACCAATGTTGTATTTAACATTTTTTTTCAAAACATTCAACTTTCCACTTTCTTAATATTTGGAAAATTTATTGCTCAGCAGTTCTATATTGATCCCCATATAGGATGTCACGTATGTTTCATTTTATTCAAATGCAAGTAATATTATAAAAAAAATGAAATACGGCCAGTAAGCTCTTTGAAGAAACGAATTAGCTATTGATAATTTCAATACCTTGTAATATATTTTTAACCTTTCTGCTGGTACATCAACATATTATTAACATATCTTTCCTTTGTAAAAAACACTTTTGTATCTTCTTACATCTTATATAAGGTAACCGTCACTAACAGGCATGCTAATCCCAACATTATTTCATGCTTTCCAGTGTTTTATTGTAATTTAACCAACGTTTATACAATTCAGTGTGGCAATACCACGTGACATTGACGTCATTTTCGGCATCATTTCCAAGACAAATGTTGCTCGATTCGGAAAAGAAAATAGCCGTAAATATTATATGTTATTTTGGTTTTGGAGTGATATATGTGGATATATTACCTGCTAAGATTTTATATCACCCGAGCCGTTAGGCGAGGGTGATATTTTATCTTGGCAGGTAATATAATCCACATATATCAAACTAAAAAACCAAAAATAATAATTTTTTTACCCTTCCCCTGCCGAGTTTAGACGATTTTTAAAAAATCATTGCTTTTTCAAAATGAAACGTCGAAAAAAGATTCCCTTTAGGGGTACCTCTTCGTCAAACAACATGACGTCACATAATTACATGTCGTATTTTTCCCGTACCTGACGAATGTAAACAAGAGAAAAGGAGTAGTCTATTGAACGCACTTTTTTGTAATTAAATATCAAGCTATCACAAGGTCATATTTGTTTTCAGTACTGATGGTAATATGTATCATTACTCTACTTTGGTACAAATATTTATCATTTGACAGTTAAAAAGTGCTTGTAAAATCGAATTTACATCGCGTAAAATCGAAACCGTAACGCGCATCACCTCGGCGCAGTTTTTTTACAACGTTGGGTACCCAACGGGGAAAATTTAGTGTGTATATTACCGTCTGGCTCGGTTATATCAATTTCTTTCGGGTGATCAATATCCAATCAAAAAGGCGGAAAAAATCTGGAAGGGTAATAATTTATTTCTGTACCAATTTCTTTGGGATATGCACCAGTCTACGGGGGAAAATATAAACTTTCCACAGAATATTAGATTTTCATCAGTTTATAAGCCGTTTTATCAAACACTTTGCATAACATTGGAAGTTGCTTGTAATAGAGCGGGCTTCAGTTGCAAGCTATTTCGTTTTCTGGCGTTATCTGGTCTAAGCCATGATTAAAAAGTCAGGTTTACATCAACCGGGATTACGGAAGGCAAAACTCTACCTAAATATGTTCATATTTTTATTATGAATGACATACTAGTAAATCTTACATTTTTCTTCAATTGTCAATTCTGGCACCAGTTCCAAGTCGAAAAAAAAGGACTACAGTTTAAAGCAGATTTTAGAATCCGTTACAAATGCGAAGCCAACATGCCCTACAGTTCTCTTCTTACAATTTTAGTTTTTCATTGATGATCTTTCACAGAGAGATTTGTGAAAAAAAACTGATTGTTCCTTAAAGCAATAACACTTTACTTGTATCGCAATAGTGCACGTCAAATCACGTAGATTTTAGTCCTGTCGGAAAATAATATTTTGGTTTCGTTTTGAAAGATGATTTAAAGTATTGCCTCATCTTTATCCTATGTAGTAAAATGTGTTTTTTATTCTATTTCTCAATGGCGAAATTGATAAGAAATGTATGTGCTCTCAGTGAGAGAAAGAGTTTTAAAATAATAAAAAAAGAAACACTTTTGTATGCTATGGAAAGGGTTACACTTTAGTTAACGCGAGTGTTGTAAAGCTTAAGATATTTTTTTCAGTTTATTTTTGTAAAGGTAACTGGACAAACACTGACACTCGTGAATGTGACGAATAGGTTCTTCTGTCCTCAATAGAGAGACTTTTAAAGGTATATATATTTTTTTCTGGAATTGTTGTATAATAAATTTCTAGAGTTTGATAAACGATAAATCACAATATTTGAACTTGGAACCTTTGCCGTGTAAATCTGAATAGTATTGTTACTTAGTTGCATTACTTATGATTCTCTATTTATCAAAAGACCCAAAATAGCCATGAATAAGAACGAGAAATGGACGCTATGTGGAGTAAACAAAGTAGAAAAATAGTAAACAGATAATGGATTTTACAAAACCAACAGCCATCGTTCACAGTCAAATTTCTGAAACAAAACATTCAAAAAGACGGAAATAACAATGAGTATCAATAATTATATAAATATTTACATTAACATCTGTAATAGCAACATCGGCAAGATCTATGACCATATGCCACTAATGCGTCCATTGAATAATTGATAGCTAACATAAGCTTAGTAAAATTACGATTTACATTTGAAGAGTATAATTCAATTTTTATCCTTCAAACTGTCAAATGACTTACTTCTTTATTTACATATCAGATAATTCACTTATTTAGTATATATGCGTCATGTTTATCATGTTTTAGATTTTAATGTGTGGTCCTTTTTTAAATCTTTTAAAATGCTACAAAAATCCTGGTGAAGGACATCTGCAGGTCATGCCGCGTGCAATAATCCATGCATTAACATCCAATGACCAAATAGCCCTATCGTTTTATTTCAGTTGAAAGAGACATTATTGTTAAAATGGTTCTACTCGATTTAAATGTTTTCAAACCATAAATATTTCGTTCCCTTCCTCTCTTTACAATGTTATAGTGGTGAGCTCTCTGATAAAGCTGAGTTGAACTGATATAATTAACTAAATTTGTCAGATATGCAGTTTATCAACAGAAATAAACGCAATTATAAAATAGATAGTGTTTAATAGTGTTCTTAAGTGAACGAAGTTATATCAAATTCACGAAAAAACGGTAACCGTGGGTATGAAAACAGGATGTAAAATATTTTTTTATCAACGAGTGCCACTGTGTTAAAAAGCTGAATCTATCATACTAAAACATTGCTACAGGTTCTTAATAATCTATATATATGGTTATACGCATAAGTAGCTCTTTACAAACGAATAACCTTTGACTTTAAAATTGCCGCGTTGAGGCATACTAGTAACCTTTTCACAGCATACAAATCGAAGTGAATCCTGAATGTGCACGTTCATTTGGACAGGCTAGCTAAGTCAATCCGAGCCTGCAACATTTTCAATTTTGCCATTTTTGGGCGATATTTAGGGTTTCTGTTTTTCTATTCCACGTTTAGTATTGCTACATGACACAAATAGATTTTTCATAATCATTACCGTGAAAGTACAATGATTAAGGAGCAAATCAATTTCTTTACAAAATACAAAGACAACAATTTTACGACTTTTAAAATCACTTATAGGGCAGCGAGTAAAAAATCATTTAAATATTCATTTGTGTTTATGTAAATTGTATAGTAAATAAAATGTTTTTCATGGTTAACATAATTATAGAAAGAGACCGGTAGGCAATGTTGCTTTGCATTTGCAACGATTCTAAAATTTGCTTTAAACTGTAGTCCTTTTTTCGACTTAGAACTGGTGCCAGAATTGACAACTGAAGAAAAATATAAGATTTATGTCATTCATAATGAAAATATGAACAAATTTAGGTAGAGTTTTGCCTTCCGTACTCCCGGTTGAATGTAAACCTGACTTTTAATCATGACGTAGACCAGATAACGCCAGAAACGAAATAGCTTGCAACTGAAGCCCGCTCTAATACAAGCAACTTCCAATGTTATGCAAAGTGTTTTGATAAAACGGCTTATAAACTGACGAAGATCTAATATTCTGTGGAAAGCTTATATTTTTCCCCGTAGACTGGTGCATATCCCAAAGAAATTGGTACAGAAATAAAATATTTACGGCTATTTTCTTTTCCGAATCGAGCAACATTTGTCTTGGAAATGATGCCGAAAATGACGTCAATGTCACGTGGTATTGCCACACTGCAATTGGGTGCTGATGATTATATTCTGATAAACCACTAATGAAATTTATAAAATATATTTTTCACTGTAGCCGGACTATAATCTGAATGCAGATGAAAAGAAAATCATAACTAAATGGAATAACAGGCAGAAATAAATGCTGCCATGCGGAAATTTTGCTTCTTTAGGAAAAGAAAGTCGATCTCACCATAGATAATGTTAAGAATGTAACAAAGTTAGAGAAATTTAACAGAACTATATTTCAAAATTGATGATGTGACATCATGATGTGATGAAGTCACAAAGAAGAATGCGCGACGTTACGCGGCAAAATCAGTAAAAATCACTTAAAATCACTTAAAAAGCATGAAATAAAAAGAAAATTTATTTGTTTTACATAAAATATTGAAATATATTTCATTCGAGAACACCAGCTATTATATTTTCACTCATGGCTACGCCACTCGTGAAAATATTGCATCTGGTGTTCACTCAGTGAAATTATATTTCAATCTTACATGTAAAACAAACAAATATCCTCTATTTATCTTTAATTTTCAAAAAATGTTGAATTGTAAGTTGGAGTAACGTATGTTTCACACTCGCTTATTTATGAACTTTATCACGGAATTGAAACTTACATGTAAAATCGACTTTTTTATTTAGGAATCAAAGGAATCAAATGTACATCATTCTTTTGTCATATAAATGCGATTTTATGTTTTTATGTGGGCATGTGTAAACAGTATAAAGTCTGTTTGAAAAAAGAAACGTTTGTTTCACTGTGGTTACTTAAACAAGTTAAAACTCGACCAAAGTTAACAAAATTTACTAACTAATGTCAAATTGAAGTTAACATTGCTGTTATACGTGCATTCTGATTTCAATTTCCCTTTTGATAAACTTACTTTAAAAAATTGATAACGTATGTTTCTGTAACGTATGCTTCATTTTTACATTGAAAACGGGTTGAAAAATGACGCAAGACCGTTTAACCCGCAATAATTTTTGTTTATATATCAGAGATACACACATGTTAATTTTCTTTATTGTTTTGAGTCTTCTTTGAATGGATTGGCTCTTAAATAATGGTAACGTATGTTTCTTTTGAAAATGCTGTTTAAAAGATTTGAATAAAAAATGAAAATTTCCGAAAATAGAATGATATTTGAGAGGCTGCAAGCTTATTTTTACTTATAATTATATATATGGATAATGCTGTATTATCTAGCATGCGTCGATTCAATTATGTAATTTCGGTTTCACTTCTTATTGTTTGAGGTTTGTCACTATTTATTTATATGCATTTGGTGACATTTGATCATCCATTATATCAATGAGATTTTAACAGTCAAATATAATTTTTACCAATAAACAAAGTGCATATTCACACAGCAATGACTAATTGCACATGTTTCGTTTTTTCTGGAACTTATTTTTCTGAAACACTATTTCAAAGTTGAAAATTCTAGTTGGCGACAGTAAATTAATGTATGTTACATTTTAGGGTATTAATGGTACTTGTAAAAGAAAAATAACAGATAGAAATGTAAAACTGAGAGTCCATATTAGACAAATTGGCAGCTACCTTCTAACGACATTTTGACCTCAAGAAAAACCTTCGTATAAGAGCTACCCAGTGGAACATCAAATGCTGTGTTTTATTGAGAATGAGCGTTTTTTCGGAATGAATTTGTCGTATTATTTCTTCAAATTTCAATAGTAACAAAAAGTGTTTGTACTAAATACGCTTAACTCCCATAATAAAAATAAAGCGATTCGTGCTGACAACTTCTTAACTGTTTGATGACGTGAATTATGACGTCATTGTTTCAGTTTGTGCACGTGCACATGTTCTGCGGGCTGATAAATAGTTCTCGGTCCCGGGCCGCAAACTCATAATAGGTCACGTGACACTCATAATCAGTTTAAATCATAGGCAATTTTGTTACTATATATAGTAACAAGTGTATTAATGACCTGTATTTTGGAAGGATTGAAGGATATTTGGGTAATATAGTGGGTCCTTGGGGATGGGACCCTGGGGTAGGGATTGGTCCCCCACCGAGAACATGTGCTTACAAGTATAGCAGAGAAATCAACCACAGGAACTTGAAATTCTATCAAATAACCAATATTAATGATAATATCCAAATATACCCCCTATATACTATAAATTTATAGTATATAGGGGGTATATTTGGATATTATCATTAATATTGGTTATTTGATAGAATTTCAAGTTCCTGTGAATCAAGTTACTTCAGTTTGTCGCAAACAGCACTACAATCAACCTTTGACTCGGGAAAACAGTGGCGTCTCACGGCATACACGTTATCAGGTGACTTTGGCAGCAAAGCATGACACGCAGCCTGTGCTACTACATCTTTATAGCTTACTGGTAATGTATCTGTACCATTGAAAAAGAATCTTTACAGTTTACATTTATATATATGTATAAGGTTGGCTATGAAAAATGGCTTACATTTATTACAGCTAACACTTCATCCCTTCACAAGTGTGTGAAAATAGAAAAGCACACATTTCGAAAGTAAGCACTATGCAGAGCATAAACTGATTGCTTTGACAGGGACCCTTTTTACTCTGTTGACATTCGTAGTTCGTACTTTTTGTACTCAAAGCAAACTATTTTCACTAGCCTTGTAACAAACGGATTGATCAATGCTGAAACAAATAATTTCAGATCTATGTACATGTACAACTGCATAAAATTGATTTCTCTATTCTTGTAAACAAGAGCGATCAGTGATCACATGTGTCGCCTCATGATGGCCAATTTCATGTTGGGACAAGTTTTGTAACAGACGGAGAAGTGATCGGAGTAATGGCGACATAAATTCCTGTAAAGTTAGGATGAAATTGCCCAAGTAGTTTATGAGGAGTAGTGGGGACAAGTTTTATGACAGACGGACACACAGACAGACAGAGCACAACTAGACTTGGTATTGATCACTCCTGTAAAGTTTGGATCAGATTGCACCAGTAGTTTATGAAGAGTAGTCCGACGAAGCTTTTGTGTATCTGGCAACACACAGAAAAAACACCTTTTCATCAAAGGACCATAACTCAGCCATAAATCATTCAACCTGAAAACCCGTGCAATATGCGCAAGGGCTTGAGCTACAGATCAATCCTGTGGTTTATGAGGAGTAGTCCGGACAAGTTTTGTGCTGGACGAACAGACAGACGACGGAGAAGTGATCCCTTTATGTCGTCACTACTCCGTAGAGGCGACACAAAAAGGCACATCCTTCTTTGACAATGTATACATTTTTATAGAAGTTGCAAGAATTTAACTACTTAATATTTAGATCTATATCAATATCTAAGTAATTGTTCATTGAAAATCTTACGTTTTTCGTCGGCACAGCAACAAAAGTTAGGCCCACAGCCTGCCTTAGTACACGTTTCATATCTATATGCTTCAGTAGTTTTGGCTCCTTCCTCATACGTCCTATTCAGTATTCCGGAACTGTATATATGTATGGCATTGAAGCAACTTTTCCTGGCAACGAAAAAAACCCAAACAAGATATGGTTTTAACATAGATAAATTACAGGTATATTTCAGTGTAGATAAGCAATTTCCAGTAATTAATTATCATTTTTGTTCGCAGTATTTTCTCTACGCTCTTTGCGCATGTATTTATTTACTTCTTTTGCTATGAGGATTTCGAAACGTTATAATATTTTATTTGTGCAGTTAAATACACACAATCACACTTACAAGTCAACTAACAAATGAGCCGCGTCACGACAAAACCAACATAATGGATTTGCGACCAGCATGTATCCAGACCAGCCTGCGCAGGATCCATGCTGTTCGCTATCAGTTTATATACTTATATAGACTTTTTAAGCGAACAGCATGGATCCTGATCTGACTTCGCGGAAGCGCAGGCTGGTCTGGATCAATGCTGGTAGCAAACCCAATACGTTGGTTTTGTTATGGCGCGGCCCAAATGTACTTGGAAACACTCACACTCAGACTGATTGCGCTGGTCTGGATCCATGTTGGTCGCAAACCAATTACGTTGGTTTTGTTATGGCGCGGCTCAAATGTACTTGGAAACACTCACACTCAGACTGATTGCGCTGGTCTGGATCCATGCTGGTCGCAAACCAATTACGTTGGTTTTGTTATGGCGCGGCCCAAATGTACTTGGAAACACTCACACTCAGACTGATTGCGCTGGTCTGGATCCATGTTGGTCGCAAACCAATTACGTTGGTTTTGTTATGGCGCGGCTCAAATGTACTTGGAAACACTCACACTCAGACTGATTGCGCTGGTCTGATCCATGTTGGTCGCAAACCAATTACGTTGGTTTTGTCATGGCGCGGCCCAAATGTACTTGGAAACACTCACACTCAGACTGATTGCGCTGGTCTGGATCCATGTTGGTCGCAAACCAATTACGTTGGTTTTGTTATGGCGCGGCTCAAATGTACTTGGAAACACTCACACTCAGACTGATTGCGCTGGTCTGATCCATGCTGGTCGCAAACCAATTACGTTGGTTTTTGTTATGGCGCGGCTCAAATGTACTTGGAAACACTCACACTCAGACTGATTGCGCTGGTCTGGATCCATGTTGGTCGCAAACCAATTACGTTGGTTTTGTTATGGCGCGGCTCAAATGTACTTGGAAACACTCACACTCAGACTGATTGCGCTGGTCTGGATCCATGTTGGTCGCAAACCAATTACGTTGGTTTTGTCATGGCGCGGCTCAAATGTACTTGGAAACACTCACACTCAGACTGATTGCGCTGGTCTGGATCCATGTTGGTCGCAAACCAATTACGTTGGTTTTGTTATGGCGCGGCTCAAATGTACTTGGAAACACTCACACTCAGACTGATTGCGCTGGTCTGGATCCATGTTGGTCGCAAACCAATTACGTTGGTTTTGTCATGGCGCGGCTCAAATGTACTTGGAAACACTCACACTCAAGACTGATTGCGCTGGTCTGGATCCATGTTGGATCGCAAACCAATTACGTTGGTTTTGTTATGGCGCGGCTCAAATGTACTTGGAAACACTCACACTCAGACTGATTGCGCTGGTCTGGATCCATGTTGGTCGCAAACCAATTACGTTGGTTTTGTCATGGCGCGGCTCAAATGTACTTGGAAACACTCACACTCAGACTGATTGCGCTGGTCTGGATCCATGTTTGGTCGCAAACCAATTACGTTGGTTTTGTTATGGCGCGGCCCAAATGTACTTGGAAACACTCACACTCAGACTGATTGCGCTGGTCTGGATCGCAAACCATGTTGGTTTTGTGGCGCGGCAAAAACTCACACTCAGACTGACGCTGGTTTTGGTCGCAAACCAATTATGTTATGGCGCGGCTCACTCAATGTACTTGTGGTCGAAACCAATTACACTCACACTCAGACTGATTGCGCTGGTCTGGATCCATGCTGGTCGCAAACCAATTACGTTGGTTTTGTTATGGCGCGGCCCAAATGTACTTGGCAAACAAACACTCACACTCAGACTGATTGCGCTGGTCTGGATCCATGTTGGTCGCAAACCAATTACGTTGGTTTTGTTATGGCGCGGCTCAAATGTACTTGGAAACACTCACACTCAGACTGATTGCGCTGGTCTGGATCCATGCTGGTCGCAAACCAATTACGTTGGTTTTGTTATGGCGCGGCTCAAATGTACTTGGAAACACTCACACTCAGACTGATTGCGCTGGTCTGGATCCATGTTGGTCGCAAACCAATTACGTTGGTTTTGTTATGGCGCGGCTCAAATGTACTTGGAAACACTCACACTCAGACTGATTGCTTTCATCATACACATGTTCACAATGCATTGACCTTGAATTGCGTCTGACTTCAATCTGCTGGGACAAGTAAGTGATCAACCCAATGTCACAGACACTTGGGGTATGGGAACCAACATATTACCGAATGGCTCCGCACATAGCCGACTGGTTCCCATACTTCAAAGCGCAGCGCATTTTGTATACGATAAAGCTGGGGCCACGTTTGAATATTTATCGAAAGATTTTGTAAACGGAGTAAAACGGCAATAATCTTGATGTTTATTTCGGCTGTTGCGTTGTTTATATATATTACCGTTGAAGTTTAAATTGACCATCATCGTGAAGAATTACACTTCTGTGTCGATGGACCAAAGGATTATGTGAAAATATTGGAAATGGAATAAAATACATGGTGATGTTGATGGTAGGTGTGCGGATATTTTGCGGTATTATTATAGACGTTATAATATGATTTTTTTTCAAAACGGCTTATATTAAGAATTATACATGTATATATAAGCTCCACTACCCCAAATGGCTGTGTCCTATGTCACAAGTACGTAAAAATGCCAGTCTGTACGTTCGTACAGTCTGACCAGGCTTTTATAATGTTAGTACCTTGTTATGATATCAAGATTAGATAACTCTTTACATGTTTAGTTGTAAAGTTAATGGGATTACTTCCCTTTACTTGATATTCATTAATGCTATGTTATATATATGATCATGCCTCTCTGATACCTGACCATTCTCACTTGAGCTCTGGTCTTAACAACATGTATTAAATAGTTATAATAAATTACAGAATAGTTTGAATCTTGTTATTCTCCATACAACATAACATACCTAATTTTTGAATTTTAAACTGAAATTGAAATTTCTTCAACTTTGAATTGTCTGTTTTAAATTAAAAGCAAGGCAATATCAACACACAAATCCAGCAGCTTACGGATAAAAGTACATTATTTCAAGCAATTATAATAAGACCACTTAGACCTGTAATTTATTTGTATTTATGTGTATTCTCATGTATGATATAATGTATGTATACGCACCCTATTTTACTGCAAACTGCATTGCAAGATAAGGAAGACTCGGGTAAACATGATCGGCTGACAGCGTACGTAAGGTCCGGCTCTAAGTTAGGTAGAATCGATGTACATATTCCTTGTGCCATCTTCGTCCTGATACCGGTCAGTTGGGCAGAACCTGTCAGTTGGGCAGCACCTGCATTTGTACATAGAATCTTAATCTGATAAAAGCTGGCATGTAGCACTGACATTGGGAGTTGTCAAATTTGGAAAATAGGTAAATTTCCTCTGACATAAATGTGCACTATATAAAGCCACATTTATGTTGGTCAGTAAGTTTTGAACTTTTTCATTATTTTCATTGAATACATAGATCTAGCTTCTTTTTTATGAAGAATATCAAAATGTTATTCTGCATTATCGGGGGATCTGGCGTGCGAAAAACATGTAGTGCGTAGGAAGAAAGTGTCACAAAACAGATTCAAAACACAAAGTTTCGATGGTTGTGTTGTTGTGATGTTAACTGTACGATATTTGAATGAAGTTCCTCCCCGTGGCTGACATGGTGACGGTGTTTAAAGTACCAACATCTTTACGTATCGCTCTACTTTACAGCGTACGAGAACAACAGTTTAAATCAAATATGCTATCGTAGAATCGGTACACTTATATTTTCTTTTGATTGTATGGTAAAACCAAGTTGATAAGGGTTCGTTCCGCTGAAGAATTTTTATATGGGGTAAGCCATTCACTAAATCAGTTACAAAACAACACGGTCATCTTACGTTTTCTGGTCCCAGTTAATTACAAGAAAAGCATTGATGCAAAGCATCAAAGGGCGTCCAAGCAAGAAATGCAGCAAGTGAAGATGAACTAGTACACATATGATGACAAGATATTCTTATAAACTACCAGAAATGTATATCCACTTATGAATTGAGCGGACGACAGACATTGTTCATTTATGAACTTTGCATGGATGCTTAGAGATTAGAATATTACTTGTTATTTCTTTATGAATCGTGGCCATTAATAGCACGGATATACCATGTATGCAATCATTTATAATCCATATTGTGTAACGCATGATCAAACACGTACCACACCATTTTGTAATTGTCCCTTATTATGTTATCGCTATTGGCGAAGACCCCCTCTTAAGGTATCTGTTCACACTTTAAGTTAGTAAAGATATGACACTGGTTATATTACCATGTTGATCATGTTGAGCATTGTGGCGCCGTTATATGTCGCAACACCGCTAAATGTCGCACTTGACGCTAAATGTCGCACCATTGCCGCTAAATGTCGCAACCGCCGCTTAATGTCGCAAAATCGTCTACCGTTAAATGTCGCAACTGTGACGCTAAATGTCGCACGAATTTGTCTTACCGCTTAAATGTCGCAGCACTACCGTTAAATGTCGCAAGATGAAATTCATGTTTTAAAAATCATGATTTAAAGTAGTATTATATTACTTTTTAACGCTATCATAGTCATTTTTATTGTAATTGCAATTACACAAAAGTGTATTTGCTTTAATTGTTTACTTTTATGAACCTAAATATCGAGGTTTTGAGCTGCTGTAAAATGTAATCTTGACGCTAGAAAGCGTATTCTAGAAAGATACAAGATTGATATTTAATTCTCAATAGAAAAGTATTTTTTCCTTTGTCTCCCTTTTTCATTTATTACCCTGATTGACAACATCTTAAAGGTATTATGACATCGTCGCTATGAGAATTCGGTTTATTTAGTAATTTCATTGATTTGATAACCTTTTTTTCTGGCCAATACTAACAGTAATAAAGTCATACACGGGCGAAATTTATCAAACCGAGCCTGCAACATTTTTCTATTTTGACGTTTTGGACTTTCTTTTGGGTTCTTTTTCTCATGTTTTATCCATGACTGATGTTCCTCAAGCTGATTGTACACACCTCTGAACAGCTTATGCATTCAAGGAAAAATATAGAACTCAAATCAACTGACCCCTAATCTAAAGGACGAAGACCACGTTATCATCCTATTCAAATACAAGAGGGCAATGATGGCCCTGAGGTCGCTCACCTGTATATAGCATCCACCCTCCCCCCGACAGGGCCAATTTTAACCCAAGGGCTTTTATTTGAACAAACTTGGTAGACACCCATAAGGAAGATGTTTTCATGCTAACCATCTAAGCTCTAACTCATTGGGTTTTAAAAAAGATTTTTTTAAGTTTCTACTATACACATATAGTTAAAAACAATGACACCCCTGGGGCGGGGCCAGTTTTGACCCCAGGGCTTTTATTTAACAATCTTTTGTAGACACTTACTAGAAAGATGTTAAATGCTATTAATATCTAAACTCTAGCTATTTGGATTTTTAAAAGAAGATTTTTTAAGTTTTTGCTATACACATATAAGGAAAAATCAATGACCCCCACGTGGGGCCAATTTTGACCCCAGTGGCTTTTATTTGAACGAACTTTGTAGACACTCACTAGAAGATGTTTCATGCTCAATATCTTAAACTCTAGCTTTTTGGGTTTTTTCAAAGAATATTTTTTTAAGTTTTTGCTATACACATATAAGGAAAATCAATGACCCCACGGGGCGGCGGCCAATTTTGACCCCAGGCTTTTATTTGAACAAACTTGGTAACACACCCATTAGAACATGTTTTCATGCTAAATATCTTAGCTCTACTTTTTGAGTTCTTTAAAAGAAGAAGATTTTTTAAGCTTTTACTATATGCATATAGGGAAAAATCAATGACACCCTGGGGCGGGGCCAATTTTGACCCGGGGGGCTTTTATTTGTACAAACTTGGTAGACACTCATTAGAAGATGTTTCATGCTAAAATATCTTAGCTCTAGCTCTTTGGGTTCTTTAAAAGAAGATTTTTAAGTTTTTTACTATATGCATATAGGGAAATCAATGACCCCCTGGGGGGGGGCCAATTTTGACCCCCAGGACTTTTATTTGAACAAACTTGGTAGACACTTACTAGAAATGTTTCATGCCAAATATCTAAGCTCTAGCTCTAAGGGTTTTTTTAAAAGAAGATATTTAAAGTTTTTTTCTTTCGGTTGCCATGGCCAAAACCAGAGTTCTGCATAGAATTAACTTCTTTGAACAATTTTTAAAGATGACCACCAAAGGAACATTCCTTGTTAAGTTTGGGATGAAATTGGCTTAGTGGTTTATGAGGGAGATGTCATTTTAAAGTAAAAGTTTACGGACAGACGGACGGACGACAGGACGTACGCCGGACAAAAAAGCGATCACAAATATTCACCCTGTCACTTTGTGACAGGTGAGCTAATAAAAACACAGAAAAAAGGCTGTATAAGCAAATGTTGTAAAAAATCTATTATTTGCATCCCTTGACATTAAATCACTGATTCTATCTCAATCAAAAGGAAGAATATCATGCAAGTTATCTTTCTACCAAATATGAAATACATTTGTCAATAAATAAAGAATGTATGTGCTAAAGTACAAAAATCTATTTATAGCACTTGTGACCTTGACCCACTGATCCCTACCTCAAATCAAAAGACAATTACCATGCAAGTTATCTTCCTACCAAAAAATATGAAATATATTTTGTCAATAAATAAAGTCTGTGAAAAAATGTAAAATTCTATTTTTGGAACTGGACCTTTTGACCCAAACTTAACACTAACTCCATCCAAAGGAGGAAACCTTAACTTTATATTCCTACCAAATATAAAATACGTCTGTCAATAGTATAATGTCAAAACACCTTGGTGACTTTGACCTTGACCCACATGACCCCTATCTTAACCCATAGGAAGAGGACCTCCCTTTGAATGTTTGTATTAAACATGAAGTACATTAACTTAAAAATAAAGGCTTAATGAGCTAAAATGTTACAAAAAATTTTCACACCAGTGACATTGACCTAAGAGACCCCTTACTCCACAAAAATTTAAGAGGACAATTATATTTAAGTATCCACCTTACCAAATATGGAAGATTCATTTAAAAATTAAATTTTTAGATAAATTCAACTTACCGGAATTAGGTTCACCATACAAGGCCCTATTTCCAAAGTGAAAAAAGGGAAATATCTAGGAAAATGGATGGCACAGTTATAAACCTGTAACATAAATATCATGTTCTTTCTATCAATAAGTAAGTGTGGAAATTATGAAGCCATTAATATAGACAGAACTTAACATAAATCCAATTTGCCGGCTAAGGTTAAAGATATTCATCTTCAAACTGTTTTAAAAGGACAATAAATTGGTTTAAAAATGGGAAACCATAATTATGTAACTGCCTAAATCAAGTAAATTGCAAAAATTACGAGGTAGAAACTTAAGGGAAAAATTCCAGCTTCCCTTTTAGGTTAAAAACCGCGTTACGGACAGATAGACAGACCGGACGGACGGAACGGTTTTGAATTTACTTTTGAATTAAAGTTGAAGCCCGACTGCAAACAGCTTTTCAGCTTTAAGTTCAGCGTCCTAGAAGGTAGAAGCGTTTTTTTTAGAAATCATTACTTGTCCTTTTGCATGGGCTTTACTGTATTTTTAAAAATCGTTTCCATTTTTTATAATATATGTCCACTTTAACTTTAAGCTTCTTGACTTGCCGACATTAGGCTGTTAGATTGACAACTTACTTAGGTTGAAAGACTGATATCGATAGACTGTTTAGAATATCTTTGGCTGTCGCCTCAAAATGCTAGGCTGCCGACGTTTAGGCTTCTAGGGCGTTAGGCAAACTCCTAGGGCCCAGGGGGGTCGTCAGCAACTTAGGCTTCCTCTTCCGACTGCGAGGCAATTTGCCTCCTCAGTCTACTAGGCCATCATTCTGCCATCTCAGGCAGCAAGGCCGTTAGGCTGTCTCTTCTGCCAATTTTACAGACATTGATTATACAAAAAAACTATTTATAGAACAATTGCCAATTTTTTGCAGGTTTTCATACAAAAGGTAGACAATTGTATAATTGCATAAGAAATCAGCTAAAAAATCGAACGCAAAACAATAAAGATGACAAATTTGTAGCGCAGTTCCATTATATAATAAAATCACTTTCGCTTTCAAAACAGACATAATTCTGTCTTGAGTAAGTAGATTTAATTGATATAATACAACAATAAAACTTGAGTTCAACATAAAATTACATCTTGCGACATTTAACGGTAGTGTTGCGACATTTAACGGTAAGGCAAATTCGTGCGACATTTAGCGTTACAGTTGCGACATTTAACGGTAGACGATTTTGCGACATTTAGCGGCGGTTGCGACATTTAGCGGCAATGGTGCGACATTTAGCGTCAAGTGCGACATTTAGCGGCGTTGCGACATATAACGGCGCCACAAGCATAATTGTTTATTATACAATAATTGTAATATCTATTAATTTTAATATAAAAAATACAAATTTTATGAATATTGTTTTCTTTTCTTTTTTTGTGTTTTATGTGCTATTTTAATACTGAGTTTTTACTACTCTTTTTTTATAAAAATTGTAAAAAAAAAAATTAAGAATTCAATTGTCATATTGACCGACGATTATAAATCAAAGCTTAACTGGAAAAAGTCAGTAAATTATGGTTTATCTTTTAATATATAATATTGTTTATTTTTAAACCATGTACATGTGCATTTGTATATTTCTTTATCATTTTTTAAATTATCAATCAATGGAATAATTCATAAAATCTAATTTGTAACTTACTTAACATGGATAACAAATTAAATAAAATGTTTCAAAGTTGATAATGTCATTTTAATACCATAAAAATGTAGCTTTTTCTCAATTATTGTACATATCACGGATTTATATTACATATAAATCCGTGTGTACATATTTATTGTTTTTATCTGATATAGATAAAATGAAACATGGTATTGTTGTGTTTTTTTCCTAATTGTAACGATATCAAACATCTACTCCAAACCCGGGAGAGGCCGGACAATAAACCTGTGATACTATTCGCCGGTCACTTGTAAATCCCGGTCAAAATAGACCGGGAGAGACCGGTAATTACCGATAGGAGTGATATGATAAATAGAGGATATTTGTTTGTTTTGCATGTAAGATTGAAATATAATTTCACTGAGTGAACACCAGATGCAATATATTTTCACGAGTGGCGTAGCCACGAGTGAAAATATAAAAGCTGATGTTCACGAATGAAATATATTTCAATCTTATATGTAAAACAAATAAATTTTCTTTTTATTTTATGCTTTTTAAGTGATTTAAGTAATTTTTTACTGATTTTGCCGCGTAACGTCGCGCATTTTCCTTTGTGACGTCGTTATATCATCATGACGTCACATCATAATTTTGAAATATAGTTCTGTTAAATTTCTTTAATTTTGTTAATTTTTTAAACATGATGTATGATGACATTTACTTTCTTTTCCTAAATAAGCAAATTTACGTATGACGGCATTATTTCTGCCTGTCATTCCATTTGGTTATGATTTTCTTTTCATCCGCATTCAGATATAGTCCGGCTACAGTGAAAATTATATTTTATAAATTTCACTAGTGGTTTATCAGAATATAATCATCTGATATATTGTAATAAAACACTGGAAAGCATGAAATAAAAAATGATAAATAAAAAAACCCGAAGAGCGCGATTTATTGACGGAAAAGGTTATTATTTCATTTGAAAATGTTTGCATTGCGAAATTCTCCAGTTCGCTATTCATTGTAACATATCGCAACATTTCATTCTTAATTAATAATCAAGCACCCTCATACCGATCGGAATGATCGGCTTTTATTATGAACGACTAAAAGGCTCGAGAAGTTGCTGTCGCCCTTTCACAAAATCTGATTTCATTCCATAAGTGCGCCGCGCTTCGGCGCGGCCGCCAATAAAAAAGTTATGTTTCATAAAATTTATTGATTATAGATATCATCTATATATACAATAAATATTTACATGTTCCAGGCATATTTTCTATTCGTTATACTGAAGTCGACTATATTGGTGAAGTATTCGGTGAAGTATGCGCGGTGTGAAATTGTTTAATGATATCGATCTGAGCGGTTTATATCGCCTATTAAATTTGATGAGTAGGAACTGACCACGAAGGTCAGATTTTGTCACTGGTTAAAAGTTCGGATGGAAATTTCCGGATATTGCGTGCGATATCGAAAAACATTCACCCTCGATGTCCACAGTTAGAACTTACGAAGGCATTGGGTGAACTTTTGATGATATTTCACCTTCGTTAAAAGTGTGTAATCGTTAAAAATAGCTCAACAGTTTTTAGTTTAAAGCTAAATTTTCTAGGTAAAATATTCGCAAATTGATTCAAAAAACCTCTTTGTATCATTGAATGCTGTCATTTCATTTCCTTCCGGCTGAACAATTTCTGGAGTTTGGCGAAAAACTTTGTGGCTAAAATAACCTTATAAAAGCCATCTGCACCTGATTAGCGGAGGCCTGATTTGTGTCCAAGCTTCCTTTCTGCAGAACCCTCTATAAGTTGATTTTACCGATAGTTCGCCAAAAAAAAATCTCAAAGCAGGAATTCAACCAGTGTTCTATTATTCTCTGCGGTAACGTAGGGTATTGATACGCGGCATGGAGGAGCACGTGACATGCTTATGACCTTTTCGAAAACCTAGCTAAATACCGTTTGCCGGTACGTTACGGATTTACCTGTAGAACAAAAAACTATTACGTGATATTTCTAATTTCCTGTAATTATTTTACCGTTTAAGATGGAAAAAAACTTGAATGATATGTTTGAAAATTATAAATGTTTCTTTAATATCTATCTCAAATTTTACAAACAATAAATTGTTTATACTGAAAATCTACAAAATTAAAATATTCGTAGTGGCATCAGCCATAATAAATAGAGACATTTTCTGCGTAAACTTGTGTGTTTACTTTATTTATTTTTTGCTCGGAATTATACATAAAATGGTAGGCCTATTTAATCATTTTCTTAAAAAGAAATAATTGTTTTATGTTCGACCGTCTCCGGTCTTCAACCGTCACCAGTTTCCAAAGACCTTCTTCCATTCAACTATTTCCATGATTTATCCCCCCCCCCCCGAAATAATGCTTAAAATAGTTAAATGAAATAGCTTTATTGGAGAGGTCATCAGACCTCTCCATAGTGTTCAGACTGATTGCTGGCGGCATCCATTTTTGCGTATCTGATTGTAGTGAATGAATCTCATTTTAAGCGTAAAATCATTAGGAGCAGTCTACAAAAATTGTTTTGCGCATGCCTCGTTTCAAAATACGGGTTCACTTAAACGAAAAATTAACACGGAAGTGAACAAATCGGCACATAGAAAAATCGGAAAATATCATTTACGTTACTTAGCACTACGTGGATGTTTCACTCCGTTTAATCTGTATAAATCGATTACCGTATTGTTTTCTGAATAACGTTTTACTATTTCATGTTCCGATAAATAGTAACATTGAACATTATAGCTACAATATCACCGCGCACTATTATATGACCGAGTGAACCGTGTATTGAACCGGTATGACTAAATAACGCAACGGAGATTTTTTGGCCCAAATGGCACAAATTTTACCTCAAGTTTGATTTTCTTCTAATGTTGTGGTTGGAGGCATGCAGCTTTATATACTGTTTATTTCAATAAACAGTATATAACAGTATAACAGTATATAACAGTATACAGTTATTTCATATGTGATTTGGGAACAGTCAAACTGTTGGCCCGAGGTGGAGGGGGTAGTGTTCAAACAGTTCAAAACACTATCCCCGACACCGAGGGACAACTGTTTAACTGTTCCCAAATCACGCATGAAATAACTGTTTTATTACCTGATCAACTACTGTTTAACAGTATTTGCAGAAGAAAAAAGGAACAAGAAAATAGTTTTGCATATATTTTAATAATTAAACTTAATATTTTAACTATGTCACGTCACGTCTAGTTCATGATCAAGATCGATGGACGCTTCAAGTGGGAATCCTCCATCTATGACGTCAATGACGTCAGAGCACGAGAGGGAAACAGTCGAAACTATTGACCGGCCAACAGTTCGCGAACGTTGACGTTTTAAAAATTTTAGAAAACAGTAAATAATAACAAATTACATTTATATAAGGTATCAGGTAATAATATCTACTGTTTATTCCAATCAAATGATTAAAAAAAATTTGGATTAAATTTGTTTGATTAACATACTTTATACCCGTTTTGGAAAATGTAGAGGAAATGTTTCCTTATACTTAACAAAACACCAACCGAAAATTTGCTTATTGAACTTTACAAGAAACTTTTATTTTGATACTACTTTTAATAAATATATATATACTTTTTCTACAAAGGGAACTGAATTTAAAATACAAATGTAAATGATATATATCATTTAATTTACATTAGTAATTTTAGATTTTTTGTAGAAAAAATATCCCTAATGCGCCAAGAAAAAGTCCATTTCTCCGGCATATAATCTTTCAAAACATTAACAAAGATGAAGTGTAAAACAAACTTTCATTGCAATATATATAATAAATTCTATTTTGTTAAATAATTTTTATTTATAACCATTCATTGTGTGTTTTATGCCATATAATATCTCCAAATATTTTCGAATGAAACAAATCTTCAACAGCAGCAAAATACCTCTCGCATGCTTCTTTTTAAAGAAGCAAACTTGTATAAAATTAAAATGTTCACCGCAGCAAACCATTTTACTTGTTGTTATTTGTATGTGATTCTCAAGAGTGTACGGTAGAAAACTCACAATGAGACATGTTATCTTCTCAGTAAACATGGTAAAGACCACATTCTAAAGCCGCAGGGAATAGAATATGGTATTGCTCTGAAGTGCACCCCAGTTACCGTGATATAGATCTGAATGCTTTTAAAAAATCTTTGTAATTTTAATTATTGAAATAGAGATAAATGACTTACCTACAATTGGAAGTGCAAGTTCAAGCAGTTTAAAAATGATACACAAGAGTTTCATTTCCGATATAACAGTGAGCAACAGGGTTATAAATGACTTAATCACATAGACCACGGCGCAGTCCTTTGAATGACTTCCTGCAAAACAATGCAACGTGACGTCATTTGCGTTAGGCGTAAATGCGCGCTAATAATAGCGTTACACCAAAGCGTCCACCGGAAATAGCCCTTCAAAGCATCGAATACGAAAGTAAAAAATCACCCGTGGTAATATTTCAACTTAATACTCCATCATAACTTAATCGATTTTTCCAAACTAAACAATAATTTTATTTTGTAAAGCTGATTGTCTGGTTTTAGAGCAGTATTTTCTTTTTTTCTGCAAATTGAATACTTTTAATTTTGTTAAATTTGCGATAAATTGTAGTTTGTTTTTTGACATTTGCGAGCGATGTTGATATTTACCACTAAATCAAGACCAAAACGCATCATCTGTATCAAATCCGTATTATATAAAAATATAGAATTCCTCTACTTGCTTTTTGAGTGGTCACCCATCAACTCGAGCTGCTTTCACTCCTTTTAGCAAAATTTACGAAAACAGTAATGCCTTGTGTACAAAATCTAGGGGGTGTACACGAATATGTGGGTTGTAGAAGGTAAACGAATGCTATGTAATGCAAAAATAATCTTGCATGCACTTACGCTGGATTTTGATACAGATTCAATATTGTAAAGATTTCTTTGGTGTTTATACTTCTGTAAATGTTTGTGTAGCATTGGGAGAATGTTGTAGACTTCCATGGTGTAATGTCCATCATTTCAAATGTATAAAATACTTAATAAACTTTTATGTATGTCTGATAATAGATATTAAAGAAATTGTTATTTAATGTTGAAAGAACATGATAGTGTAGGAAGTGTTATGCGCTAATTTTAGAGTTCTACTGAAGGTGCACAATGTACCGTTTTATATTTTAATGTTTCTTTCTTAGTGGAATAACACAGAAAATATATAACATATACACAGGTTATCCTGATGTTTACAAATTAATATTAAAAACAGTAACAATTATTTCTAGTGGAAAGCCACAATACAATGTTATCACTTGGAAATCAAAAATCTAACTTTTAATTCAACACAGCATTTGTTAACTTCATTTTGCAATTTTCTTTTTATGAACTCAAAAAAATTCTATTTATTTATCAACTTTAACATAGCTATACCTCAGCATGTAATAATACATAATATATATAAGCTATTTTAAAATACCTGTTTTAAAGCTAGACATTATAGTCTATAAGTATTAATGTCAAAAAGCAAATTATATTAACAAAGTACATGCTAATTTATAGAAAGTTTACAAGTTTTATCAACATCTAATGATTAGGTCTTTTAAGATATATATTTCATCTTTGTAGAATTATACAATTATAGTTCAACATTAATTTGCAAACGAATGCATTATATACGATACTTCATAATACTTTCCTATTTTTTGCTACTCAACAGTTATAAGTAGCATCACCCATCATCAAACATAATGCAATTATCAACACATGAAACTACCAGATACCGCAGTGGCACATAAAATCATGATGAAGAAAATTATTCCGACCAATGACACTAAAACACAAGCAACCCACTACTTTAGACACCAACCAAACCAAATATATGTATTGGTAACACATACACCTATTCAGTAACTATAGATAAGATTTAAAATAATTCACACACACTCAATTCACTAACAGAAATTTACATACAAAAATCTAAAATATAGTGATGATGTCTAAAATAAGCAGATGCAAAGTTAAAGCCATAAACTCAAGAATGACACTACAAACATTTTTTTCAAAAGAAAATAAATCATATGTCCACATTATCAATAAAATAAAGCCCAATGTTAGGTAAACATACCTTTAAGACAATACTGACATTAAGTGGATTCTATCTGAGAATTAAAAACATGTGAATTGATAAAACAAAATGTTCTGTAATTTATATTTATTCTCGCACTGCTTCAGTTCTTCATAACTTTCGTCTCCTGAATTATCATCAATTTTGACGTATACACATCTATTTCTGCAAACGTTAATGCAATTGAAAGTTCCTTATTTCGTCTTGTATGTCTTTTTTTCTATTCTATCTCCTATAACTTTTCATAATTTCTTTTTTTTCCAACATTTCGTCTAATTTTCTTGTGTACAGGTTTTCTCATTTTTTTAAATTAAAATTTCTGCAAATGTCCCTAGTTGTTATATGTCCTTAGAATGTCGATTTTTTTGTATATCACTTAGTTTCCTTTTGTTTCGTGGGGTGGAATAGGTCAAGAAATAGGGGGTTCTGCTTTTATGACAAAAGCTGACATTTCTTCTGCATTTAATTTATGCCATATATGGCCAGGTGAGTATAAAAACCGAGAAGGGATATTGGATTCAAAAAATGCTGTCACAAGGCGCATCATGTTCATGTTTATTTTTGATTTTTTTTTCAAGGTTTTTTACAATGGTTTGTGTCTAAAGAATCAAAATCATACTACATTGACCATCTACTATAGATGATTTTTTATGGCAGAAAAATCTTTTGAAAAATGCTTGAATTTAATTCGAACATTTGATAAAATTTGCAATGAACTTAGTGTCCCCCTAAATGTCGAAAAATGGATGGGACCTGTTAAAACTATAACATACCTAGGTCTTGAAATTGATTCAATCAACCAAATGATTAAGGTACCTTTAGAAAAAATAAGGAAAGCGAAAACAGTCTCGTTTGGGTGAGAACGCTAAAAAGATCAGGCTCAGGCTCAAAGATTTACTTGTAATCAGTCGTTGGTCTATGTAATTTTATATCGAAAGCTATTCCCAGTGGCCGTGCCTTTAAAAGACGTTTTTATGGCACCATGTCGTATGTAAAGAAACCGTTCCATTTTATTAGTCAACCAATGCATGAAAGAAGATGCAAATATTTCGCAAACTGTACATAACAATTTTTTGAAAAATTCAATACTTATGTTATGTTTACAAAAAAAATGGGTAGATAACTGCCATTTAAGACTATATATAACGGAATATATTGCATACATGTATGTCTTTACGTCAATATTCATTTTCAACAGTAGCTGTTCACGTTTCAACAATAAGATAATTTAATAAAATAAACAATTTAGTTGACAATACAAAACAATTCATAGTCAATAGTATGCTAGAAGGGTTCCGTAGATTATCGAAAAGACATGACACAAGACACCCGATAACACAAAATGTACTGATACAGCTTTTATCAGCCCTACCTAATGCTTGCAGATCACAGTATGTAGGTTTAATTTTATTTCAAATGTTTTCTGTCTTACCTACATAGGTCTGTTAAGAATAAGCGAATTTGCATTGCCTTAAAAGAAATAAAAAAAGTAGTTTTAAATGTAGATGACGTAACGATCATTCAAAATCTCATCAGGTTCAAAAACGGACCAGATGAATTTAAAGCACACTCTTTTCGAATCGGCGGGGCTTCTAATATATTCCGTGAGGGTTGTGCTATAAACGATATAAAATACAGAGTCCGTTGGCGATCTTACGCTTATAAATCCTACATCCGATAATTTTATAGTATTTCATGGAAAAAAACTTATTTTTTTAGGATCTGCCACAATGGCTGTAATGTGAATGCCGGCGATCCGAAATTTGGCTATTCAAATAAAGTACGTATTTGTATTAAGAAACCGTTACCGGATCTTAATACACATTAATGTATTAAGAAGAGCAATTTGTGCTGTTGTAAAAAATGTTATATATATTGGCATTATGTGCATGATATTGTTTTTTTTTGTTGCATGTGTTAATGTGTAACAAGCAGTTGGCATTATGTGCCTGACATTATGTGTCTTTTTTAATTTATAACACCCAGTTGGCATTATGTGCCGGACATTATGTGTCTTTAATAATCTATAACACCCAGTTGGCATTATGTGCCTGATATTATGTGTCTTTAATAATTTATAACACCTAGTTTGCATTATGTGCCTGGCATGTGTTTTAATAACATTACTTGATAATTATATAATATTAAATGGATAGGTAATACATAATCAAACTTATTTCAGCCTGTAAAATGTCGGATGTTTGGATTATAGGCTCTTCAATTATTAGGGATGTCTTTCAAACAGCATGCCGCAGAAGTGAAGGTGCTCACTTGGGACTTCAATTTCTAGGTTATAATGTTATATGGGAAATATCAGGGGGCATGGAAGTTTCTGATGATTTAAAAACCTTCGATAGAATACTTGCCTTGAGTTTAAAAAATGCGCCAAAATGTTTTGATATTTTACACTGTGGCGGGAACGATTTAGGAAATAGACCTGCAGTTGAAATCATATGGAACATCAAAAACTTTAAAACAGGGACTTTACTGGAAAAAACGCTTGATACAAAAATAATTTGGTCTCAGTTTTACCAAGATGGTCATGGAGATATGTCCAATGTAACAAAACTGCAAATTAAACCCGCATGCGTATAAATAGTTGTATCGGTACATTTGTTACTAAACTCGGGGGTTATTATATTCGTTACGCTAATTGACTTTTTCGATGACCTAGCTGGGCGCCGTTTTCTTGTACGTTGCCGTTTTGGCTGTGGGAAATTACACCAAATGAAGTACATAGCATAGTTACGAGATATTTCTATTTTTCTATCATTATTTAACCGTTTAAGGTGAAAAAATTGATGTTTTTAAAAATTATCAATACTCGTTTAATATCTATTGCAAATCATTCAAAAAATAAATTGTTTATATCGAAAATCAATAAAATTCAAACAGACGTAGTGGAATCTTCCATAATAAATAAGGTCATTTTCTGCGTAAACTTGTGTATTTACTTTATTTTTTGTATGGAATTATTCATACAATGATATCTAATTATTTTCTTATAAAGAAATAACTGTTTTATTTCAATTTAATTTAAAAGGCTGAAAACATTTGAGTTCGCTATTACACTCCATTAGGTGAATTTCCCCGGGGATGTGTGCGGAAGGGTGCCAGGGCGCGCGTTTTGTCCGTGAATATTACAGAAAAACCCTAGGTTGTATAGGCCGGATGGCACACACTTGTCGGGCTTTGGTAACCACGTTTTATTGAATGCAAT